CATTGTATTATTAGTCAAGTTCAAGTCAAGTCAAGTTAAGCTTTATTGTCATTGTGGAATGAAATGTCTTATACAGTAGCTAACATACTAGAGAGGTAATCTAATTATGCTAACTACTAACTATTCATGTATCATAAATGTATTACAACATTGCAAAAATGGCAATGGCAGCAAGCAGCATTGAACCACGCTTAAACAAAGCCTGTCGTCTTCTTCTGACAAACAGCCACATGTCAAGAAGAAAAATCAGAATCTGCATGTCCTCCATTGTTGTTTATGGGGCCATTCAAATTTTGTCTAAAATGTGTGGAAAGCAGACTCGCACCACTTCCTTGCATGTATACATTTGAAATAATAAACTTGAGTGCATAGATGACGTGATACGTGAAAGGCCTATATGGCTTTCTTTGAGCGAGAATGATGTTGATTGCAACCTTCTAATGTACACCACACCAACCAACATTGGCAGTGTACCAAACCAAACAGTTCTGTAATGTATTATACTGTACGTTGCCGCTTAGTGAAAATGAGCAATTAGTAACTACCATTCTGGTCGAGTCCTAGAATGTGTGATGACCATCTGATACCAAACTGTGACCAATTGATAAAACCTGATCTTTATTTATTTTTTTGAAGTGTAAAATTGCATTTAAAAAAACAATATACTACTGCATGTTTATAAATGCAATGAGAGGCTGTAAATCAGACAACTAGATGCAAATGTATGTAGAATGTTCCTGTTCCATATGATGTTTAATGTTCCTGACAACTCTTGAAGTCTCGATAAGTAACTAACAATCTCACTAACACAATTTTTGTTTCGTCATTGCAAATTTTCTTATATTAAAAGATGCTTTTTACTAGTTGTATCTCAGAATTGATTGGTTAAAAAATATGGTTTTATGATTTGTTTTAATAGTTATTAACAACAACGTACTTGTAAATCTGAGCTAATTTGAGAACAGCTTCAAATTTGTGGTTTTTGAATCACCAATACTCAAACAAGTCTACCAGTAATTAAATACTCAACGCTTTCTTTGACAACAAATTAAAAACTATGACAATATTAGTCAATGAAAGCATGGTAATCACATAATCAAGGCTTTCACACAAACATTTATGATGGGGTTATGTGGGTTATGTGGAAATGTAAGGGCCTGCTTACAAAGCTTTTATGTGCAGCTCTGAAGGAAGAGGGCAGTGAGGGCTATGAAAGAGCGCAGTGAAATGAAGCAGACAGTGAGTCTGCTGTGATTACATAAGTCTCTAACTCAGATTGGCAGGAAGGGGAAGGGGTGGAGGTGGGCGTCCCTGGGGTGAATTAATTAGTGTTTATGTAACTCATTAATATTCTCCACAGCTAATGCACACAGAGCTCTCTCACATGCCAGAGATGTGTGTGAAGATGCCTTACGCTTCCATCTATATCTGTCTGATTATGTATGCATGTGTGAGTTTGACAGAAATACATATAACGAGATATTTAAGACTATAATTTTGACTATGATGCAGTTGATAAGTAAATTAAAAAAAACAGTGCTGGTAGTAAATATATTACAGTAAAATAAATAAATAAATATGTCACGTACAAGGTTAGCGAGCAAATTTGTTATACTGATCCCATGAATTCAACTTCTTTTTTTATTTATTTTTAATGTATTCAATTGAAAGGTGGGTTAAAAACTTCTGTGAATATAGACTGCAGCTGCTTTCAATAAAGTATACTTTGTATTAAACCATAATCACTTTTATTGTATTGGCTATTCAAAGATCCAACCCTTAAGCTGTTGCTGTACAAACACAACAAATGAAACCAAAACAAGCCAAACCAAACAAAAAACAAAATACAAAACACACAAAACCAAATAAAACAAAACAAAATGCACAAAACCCAACAAAGTCAAATCAAAACCAAATAAACCCAAACCAAAAACCAAACAAACAAAAAAAAAAAAAAAAAAAAATCAAACCAAAACAAAATACAAAACACCAAACAAAACGAAACAAAACAAAACAAAAAATAAATAAAATAAAAACCAAACCAAATCAAACCAAAACACAAAACCAAACAAAACAAAACCAAAAGAATCCATACAAAACAACACAAAACAAAACACCAAACAAAAACCAAACCAAACAAAAACAACCAAAAAACAAATAAAAAATGCAAAACCAAACAAAACACACAAAACCTAACAAAGCCAAAACAAAAACAAATAAAAACAAACCAAAACTAAAAACCAAATCCAAACAAAACACAAAACCAAACAAAACAAAATAAAAAAACCCAAAACCAAAATAAACCATACAAAACAAACAAACAAAAAAAAAGCAAAAACAAAACAAATACAAAATGATATTTAGATTAGATACAAGCACAATCTTAGCAATAAAGGGTTGCATGCCAGAGACGAGAGAAATAGGCCAAGTGCGAGCAGTAGCAGGGCATTTGTCCACATTAACAGCTGAACCGCTCGGCTGTTCCTGGACTGGGATTGTGGTCTATTCTCAGGCGGATGCGCAAGCCAGCAAACAACAGAGCCAATCACAGCTGCATTCACCTGGACCACCGAGGCTAAAACGCACCAATAATTGTGTTCTGAGGGAGCAGTGCGAAATTCACCCAGTCAGGTGTTGACAGCAGAACAACAGCACAGCTGAGGCCACGAGGCCAGAGACGGTCAGCTTTTTATACCACCTCAGCGGAAGTGTTACTTCAACTGAATTTCAGTCAAGCTAGCTTTTCAGGAAAAAAAAAAAAGCTACTGACGCTATTTTAGTAAGAAAGTTTAAATCAGGATTATGAAACCCCTTTGACATTTCTTTTCTTTTTAAAATATTTCCTAAATGATGTTGAACAGAGCAAGGAAATTTTCACAGTATGTCTGATACTTTTTTTTCTTCTGGAGAAAGTCTTATTTGTTTTATTTCGGCTAGAATAAACACAGTTTTTAATTATTAAAAAAAACATTAGCCCCTTTAAGCTATATATTTTTTGATAATCTACAGAACAAACCATCATTATACAATAACTTGCCTAATTACCCTAACCTACCTAGTTAACCTAATTAACCTAGTTAAGCCTTTAAATGACAGTTTGAGCTGTATAGTGTCTTGAAAAATATATAGCAAAATATTATTTACTGTCATCATGGCAAAGATAAAATAAATAAGTTATTAGAACTATTATGTTTAGAAATGTGTTGAAAAAAATCTTCTTTCCGGGGGAAATAAATAATCAGGCGGGCTAATAATTAAGGGGGTTAATAATTCTGACTTCAACTGTATATAATAAATAAATCAAATTTTAAAATCCAATTTTCTCTGTTATTTTTAATATAGGTCTATAACATTGACAGTTGTGGATTGTGAACTGTATATGTTATTTAAATTTTTTAATTTCAAAAATATTAGTTGACAATAAGCTGGAAATTGAAACATCACTATTACTACTACTCCTGCATAAAAAAAAAAACAACGACAACAAACAAAAAACAAAACAAAAAATCTTTATTCCTGTGACTTAGTATATACTGTACATATGTACTATATTAGTATATACTGTTGTTTGTAATCATTAGTAATTAATCTGAAACAAACAAAAAATAAATTTAAAATGTAATTTTTAAAACGATTTAAAAATACATACAACAAAATTAATAATGTTTTCCTATTTTACTAGATATAATACAGAAATTACAATGTTCTATAAACAGAGTGAGATGTGTTATATTCTATTCAGAGAGCGACAACGGTGTCACCTGAAAATATTTGAAGATATCTGAAGTTGTTTTTGCACTTTTAGGACTTTAAATGATGTCTTTTTTGATGTTTTGTAATAAAAAAAGTGCAAAAACAACATTCAAAGTCTTCAGATGTTTTCAGTTCACATTGTTGTCAGTGTTACTCTACAATAGTGCATAGAAACTTACGTTTTATTTATTTATTGTAGTTTAATGCTACTCTTTAGTAAAAACTTTATTGAATTTGAATGCTAAGCCTGGCAGGGAAATAGTTTTTGTGTCTGTAGTTATTTAAAAAAAAAATAAATCCTCATTGGATAAAGCAGCATGTGACCACAAACAGGAAACTCATTCATTCATTTTCGGCTTAGTCCCTTAATTAATCCGGGTTCGCCACAGCAGAATGAACCGCCAACATATCCAGCACCCACGCGAACGCAGTGAGAACATGCAAACTCCACACATTAACGCCAACTTACCCAGCCGAGGCTTGAACCGGCGACTTTCTTGCTGTGAGGCGACAGCACAACCTACTACGCCACTGCGTCACCCTAAACAGTAAACTATTTTATTATAAAACACCTGATCTCTTGTTATGTTATGCAGAATATCAGCAGCACTGCTAGTTTGTCTGATTTCTTTATTAATCTGTAAATTCTGCAGATTTATAAAAATGTTTTACTTCAAATGATCCTAATCTCTGCCCTATTGAATATTTCTAGCCCTTTAAAACGGCTTCAGATGGACCACAGAACTGTTTTTCCAGCTTATCTACTAATGCAGTGCAAAAAGGGAATTTTAATTGGTGTGTGGAATCTCTCCTCTCAACTCCCAAACACACACACACTGTAGTTGAAAGTTTAATGGTGTACATAGCACTCATTGTTCATTCATGGTGTTGAAAGACTGACTGAGCGAGCGACAAAGAACGAGAGAGGGAAAAATGAAGAGAGATACACAGAGAGAGAGAGAGCGAGACTGAATGCAGATTTCTCTCTAATGAAGGCTTTTTTTTACTGGGAATGTCTGTGTCCAATGGGGTGCTTGGCAGTGAGCTTGGGAAAGCATTTCCAAGTGTGTGTATGTGTGTGTGTGCATTTTCATTCATGCAGGGGCCTCTTGGATTAGGATGACTTGCAGGATATTCAGGAGTTGGTCAGATGGTGTAAACGCCGAGGGGAAGGTGCATGGGAATTGACCGGGTGTAAGGTGAACCGACGAGTCTCCAAAATGTATTACATAATAGTCAAAACTTACTTTCCCAAGAAGCACTTGGGCACGTTGGTGAGTTTCCTTCGGCGGTCTTTGATGAGGTGTCGGTTCTTGGTCATCATCATGTGGTACAGCTTTTCTCCCTTCTCTGCAATCATGACGTATGCGTCACGCTCCATCCCCAGCTTCAGACCTGCCAATAAAATTTAGATGAAATGAGTCAAAAACCCATAATAAAAGCAGAACTTTGAAAAGCAGCAATATGAAAATAAAAAACAAAACAAAGCAAAGAAAAAATGCGAAAACAAAACAAAAAACAAAACAAAAAACACACAAAAAACACAAAACAAAACACAAAAACAAGATGAAACGAGTCAAAAAAACATAAATGATTATGAAAATAAAATAAAACGAAACGAAACGAAAAACAACAAAAATAAAAAAACACCAAAACGAACCAAAAGAAACCAAACCAAAAATGAAACAAAAAGCTAAACAAAACAAAACAATACAAACTAAATAAAACAAAACAATAGATATACAATAGATAACTCATTTATTTAAAAAAAAAATGAAAAGTAAATATTTAGAAGCAAATTTGACTTATTTATTAAACAAAACAAGTCTACTGTATCTCAAAAATTCTTTAATAGGTTGTTTATGTAACCCACCAGCCCTTTACTCAAATTTATATATATATATATATATTTTGCTCATTTAAACTACTTATTTAAAATGAGCTGAAACAACACAATTCTTGAGATTTCATTAAGACAACTTAATTTTTTTTATGTTCAATCCACAAATTTGTTAAAAGTATTAAGTTAACCTAATCAATTTGTGTTGAGACAACATGAACGAATTGTGTGGAACCCTGCATTTTTCACAGTGTTTTTACTGCACCCAACCTGCTCTGAGCTGAGCTAGGATCGAATCTGTGATTCTTTGCATGAGAGTCGGTAGCTCTAACAAGGAGTCTAAAGACCATGGCCTCTAGCGTCTACCACTGGAGCAACTTTTGAGGTCAGAGGAGTGATGTCTACCTGCACAGCACTTCATTAGCTGGCCTCCGTTACACTCACCCCCCCCCTAAACCTCAATCCCATCCCGGCCGAGCCCACAAGTGTAACCTTCCGGGGTTCTACTGCACCCAACCCAGTCTGAGATGGGATCGAACCAGCAATTCCTTGCATGGGAGTCGGTTGCTCTAACAAGGAGTCTAAAGACCAAGACCCCTAGCATCTGTTGCTGGAGCACCTTTTGAGGTCAGAGGAGTGAGGTCCACCTGAACAGCAGTGCGCTAGCTGGCCTCCATTACATTTAAAAAATTACATTAATACAATTTAAAAATGTTAATATATAATTGAACATCAATAGGCATTATATATGAAATCTAATTCAAAATGCTACAAATAAACAAAAAAAAAACATTTACGAATAAAAGGAGCCTTATTTTGTATGGTGAATAAAATGTTCTTCTTCTTCTTCCAGTGACGCTTAAGTCCGTTGTGGAGCCCTGGCCTCCTCCACCACTCCTCCCCAGCCTTCCCGATCCAAAGCCTGCTTTCTCAAAGCATGCACTCTTAGGGTACGTAGATCATCTTCTACGTCATCTAACCACCTCTTCCGTGGCCCACCAGGATGTCTCATTCCTTCTAGTTTTAGGTTGTATGCTCTTTTTAAACAGCTCTTTGTTCAGGGAGTCTCTCTAAGTGGCCCAGCCATCTTATACGGTTCCTCTTTATTTCCGTGACCAGGCTTGGTTTCGCATAAATGTCTGCCACTTCTGCATTATTCCTTATTCGCCATTCACCTTGGTCATGCTTCGGTCTATAAATCCTCCTTAGGATCTTCCTCTCCCATGCGTTGAGAAGTCGTTCGTAGTGAGTTCTCAATACCCACGTTTCACTGTCATACATTACCACTGTCCGCAGCACTGTATGATAGATTCGCAACAAATACAGAGTAATAACCTCAAAGGAACAAACATTATTTAGGTAAAAATTATTCAAATTCATGTTTGGTCTGTACTGTAAATAGTTTAATTGCAAACTTTCATATTAAATTAAATGAAACAAGAACTCATTTTAAAACTTGCCTAATTTATATATAATTATTAAAAAATATGTTTTCATGGTTTTTTTAAAGAAAATTTTTCTGTTCAAGGCAGCATTTAATAAATGTAAAAACAAATTTTTAAATGGTTTAATATTTATTTATTAAATACTCATTTATTACTTATTGTACTGTATGATTTTTTAAATGAAATTATTACTCATCATTATTGCTTTTATTACTATTTCCATTAATAATAATAATAATAATAATAGTAATAATAAATAATAATAATAGTGTGATTTCTGAAGGATCAAGTGACCCGAAGATTGGAGTAATGAAGCTGAAAATTCATCTTTAAAGTCACTAAAACAAATGATTAAATTAAATTCTAAGCTACTTTTGAACATTTACTCTCTAATGCAATAACATTTCACAATTTTACAATGTGTACTGTATTTTAATTAAATAAATGCAGCCTTAGTGAGCAGGATAAGCTTATTTTAAAACATTTAAAAATCCTACTGACCCCAAACTTTAGACCGGTAGTGAATATTTCAACTGAAAATGATCAGGTGTCGTATAGTATTTTCTAGCCATTCCTTTAAATCAGTGTGGGTGTTGCTGCATCAGTTAATGTTTAAGTGAGGTCGAGAGGAAACCCTGGTTTAACTGATTTTATTATAAGAAGCTGGTTTGCGTTTTCACACATACACACGCATTCTGCTCTTGAGGTGTTTCGGTGGGTAAGGGCTCCTAATTAGCCTCGAGTTAAGTTCAATCACCAAAGTAAAAACAAACAAATATGACTCTAAACTGAAGCAAAAACTCTGCCAAATGCTTATTAAACATTTTCTAATCAGGTGATCTAAAACAATGCTTATAATCATTGTCTTTCTGCACTTCTGCTTGAGCGACAAGATGTGGTTAACAAGGTGAAAACACATGCAGCTATAGATGCAGATAAAAGCCTCAGCTAGAGTGTTGGCAGTTTCCTGAAAATGTCTAAAAAGAACAGCGCACATGATAAACTGTGCAACAGTGCAATGCAGCTCTGCCTTGTTTAAATTAGTAAACTAACGGAAACATGACTAGGTATACTTAATACTAAGTAGGCTGCCAAAAAAAAAACACAACAAACACACACCACCAGTCGTACGAGGCTGAAAAATAGTATTATGTAAAAAAAATAGTATTATGTAAATAATGTCAATAAAGCCGTATCAGTTTGAGCCTGAGTCTGACACAGAAAATAAAGAGGACACCGCTGAACCCATGCAAATGCTCTTGCAAGATATTTTTAAATGGTATGGTTTTTTTTTTTGTTCATTGGTAAGAGGAGGTATGTGGTCAAGCCATCAGCATTTAATTTCAGCATCCCATACAAGTTTACATAGGACATGGTACTGTATAAGATGGCTGTAAAGTCTCCTTTTCTAATAGATAGCAGGTAAAACGGTCTACTTTGGTTTTTTGTTCACTTACTGTGGTTTAACCACGTCATAAAAATGCAATCGTAATGACATTGTACCGTAATAAGGCTAGAACAAATTTAAACACACTTCAGGTATTTATAAAGAGTATGTTTATGCTGAATAAATAAATGAAAATATACTGAAAGCAACGACAAATCTATTCTGAAAACAAGGCACTTTTGCCTTAAAATAAACATTGTGGCTCACAATACACTTATCGTAGGCTAAATCCAGCACTTAACCGCGACCAATTATAAAAGCTGTCCTTTTTTATTCAATGCTTTGCACAGAGAGCTATATCTTTTTTATAATGCTCTGGAACATAATTCAAATTAAACTGTTAGCACTTCTGTCTTTGTGTCACATCCCTTGGAAGGCCAAACAGTGAAACAGAACAAGATCCATAGAAATAGCAGCGTTTGGACGGCATTTTTCTTTATCTACTAATGCGTCTGTGACCACCCCCCCTTTGCTGCATCAGGTGTGTGCACAGTGAATGTGTGTAACCTAGACTGTTTGTGATCTCATTGTATTTTTTTGTAGTCCCCAAATTCGTTCGCTGACGGCTTTGCTAAGCTAACTCTGTAAAAGCCAAAGTCTCTCTTTGCATTGAACTTTGAGCATTTTACATTCACAGATGTTGTTTATGTGCAGAGAGCAACATAACACATCAACTAAAGTTTAAAATATGATATAGTAGTGAACCACCCCTTAAAAAAATCCACTACCATTTTACAATTTTATTAAATGATTAAATTTAATTCAAAAATAATACACAATAAACATCTACCAAATTAAATTGAAACAGTAGCAATCCACATACCACTTGTTAATGAATTTACTGACTAAAAAGAAGCAAAAAATGCTTCATCTCAACAGTCAAGGCAAATATTCACATTTTGCCATCTATTGAAACAAAAGGTGATGTTAAAGAGCGAGTGTGAATGGGATTGCAGCTGATGGCGAGTTCAGATGTGGCGGCAGCTGCAATGGCTCTCATTCAGAGCTCTTTACTGTGTCTGAGAGCCCAGAGAGAGAGACCGAGACACACAGAGAGAAAGAGAGAGAGAGATAGAGAGAGAGAGAGAGTGAAGCCACCGGCAGCTGCATCTCTCGCCCACAAAGACTTTTTTCAGGAGGTGTTCACGGCAGCTGTACGAGGCTCCAATTCAATCAAGTCAAAAGCAAAGAGGCAACACATCATTAAAAACGGCTCCTCAGAAATGACCCCAATGAAAGGTAATTTACACCTGAAGGTCTGATCTTGAATGGCAATCTAGAAAGAAGCAAACCTTTCATTTCAAACGCCAGATTGTTTTTTTCCCCCTCATTTTGAATCAGTGCGCACAAACATAATATGGATGATCAGAGAACGCTTCCTTGAGATAAATGAGTGAAATCAATCCTTATCATTCTTTTATTTTTGTGAAATATTACATGTATTTCATCTAAATGTCCTATATATAATTCTATCTATTATTGGGCAATACAACATGTCACACAGTATATAAACTAATGCAGGAAGTTGTGATCTATGCCATTCTAGCGCCAAAAAATTAAGCCATATGGGCCTTTCACAATTTTTAGCACACTCATTATTTTTAGTGTACTAGACTTGTGGCAATCACACACAAACAGACAGAGGAAGAGACAACAATCGTGCTTTCCATATGATTAGATGTAACGTGTAAACGTCCCCATAACAATAGAGCACATACAGCAGATCCTGTTCTTGCTTGTTGACATGTGGCTGTCTGCATGTTTCAATACTGTGTGTCCTCACGGTATTGAGTGCCCTTGTGGTTATTGCGGTGTCCTTTTTCGGCAGTGTATTTAAAAATGTCTCTTCCTGTGTTTAAAAAACGATGTATAAAAAAATCTAACATATAGCTTAAGAACAGTAATGAAACTTTGGCAGTTTTATAACTTTGACTTTTCCAAACCACGGTATACCTTGAAAATGGTTATTGTCCCATGACTAGTGTCCGCATTACTGATTGGTGAACAGCACCAGGGCGTGCTGACCACCAGAGCCTGTTACAGCACTTTCTGTTGAGTGGGTAAACACAATGCTAGTCACAGTCGTTTCAGAACTATCTTGATAACGCTCAAAAAGCAAGCGGGATAATATTTACATTTGTTTATTTACTACAAATGTGCATGTTGTTCTGTTCATGTACTTAATGCATTTTCTTTGAGCAGGTAAAATTAATGGTACAGTTTATATATCTGAACGCTTGTATTAAAGGCGTTTCTGCCAACCCGACTTTACACCATAACTTTTCAATCCAGATGGATGGGGCAACCATTACTGCATGCAAAATGGCGAAAAGCCTTGGAGTAACGATTGATGACCAACTAAACTTCTCTGACCACATTTCTAGAACTGCTCGATCGTGCAGATTCGCACTCTATAACATCAGAAAGATCCGACCCTTCTAATCTGAACATGCAGCTCAACTCATTGTTCAAGCTCTTGTTCTCTCCAAACTGGATTACTGCAACTCTCTACTAGCTGGGCTTCCAGCTAACTCTATCAAGCCTCTTCAACTGCTCCAGAACGCAGCAGCACGAGTGATCTTCAATGAACCTAAACGAGCACATGTCACTCCGCTGCTAGTCCGTTTGCACTGGCTGCCAGTTGCTGCTCGCAATCAAATTCAAAGCTCTGATGTTTGCCTACAAAGTGACTTCTGGCCTTGCTCCTTCTTATCTGCTCTCACTTCTGCAGATCTATGTGCCCTCCAGAAACTTGCGTTCTGTGAATGAACGTCGCCTCGTGGTTCCATCCCAAAGAGGGAAGAAATCACTTTCGCTCACGCTCAATCTGCCCAGTTGGTGGAATGAACTCCCTAACGGCATCAGAACAACAGAGTCACTCGCTATTTTCAAGAAACGACTAAAAAATCAACTATTTAGTCTCCACTTCACTTCCTAATCTGCAATTGCCTCTCTGAATATCACACTAACTGTACCCAAAAAAAATAAAAATAAAATAAAAAATTCTAATACTACTAATACTTTCCTTCTTAGACTTTACAGACCTGAAACTTGCCTATAGCACTTATTTATTGTTGCTCTTATAGTTGTGTAAATTGCTTCCTTGTCCTCATTTGTAAGTCACTTTGGATCTGATTGTAGTCTGCTAAATGACTAAATGTAAATGTAATGTAAATGTAAAGGACACAATTGTAATACAAAGAATAAATAAATATAAATACATTTATAAATTATACATTATAATACAAGGATTGTTCTGTGAAGTAAAATATAAAATTGATACCAAATTAATGACATGATAATCGTAACCGAACCGAACTGTGAGACCAGTATAGGTTCACACGCCTACTAATTAATTTGAACCAATTCATGAAATAATATACCATTAATAAGTGAATTTAAATTTCGCCTTAGTTTTAACTGTTATCAGTCATCATAAAGCTCATTCTTAATGAAGCATTAACTGTCTGAAATGTGGTACTAAATTTTAGAAAACTACATTTCAAACCCCAAATCTCCCTTTTTGTTTTACTTATTTGAACTGCTGATTTCCACCAGTGCAAACCAACTTAACATAAATACACATACATACTGCACATCAGGGGAATTTTGTTTTTAAATATTTTTTTTACTAAAAATAAATAATTGAAAAACATTAAACAATTTGGTTTATTATTTAAATATGTAAAGTAATTTATGTAGCTTATTTAGGGTGCAAGAATGTTCAGCAGAATTAATGTATTTGAAATGCATTATTCAAGGCACTTTTGCATGTCAAACTGTATTAATGGTAATGTGTAATTCGATGTCGTCTTTGAGCCATACTCAGAGAATTGAGGCTGAAGACTCGGACTGTCCGAGAGGTGTGACTGATGTGGCACCTGTTGGAATGGCCTCAGATTTCAAACGCTGGAAACCTGACATGACCCATAAAACTTGTGCTTTCATCTGGCAGCGCTGCATTATAGTGACGTCTCGCTCTCCCGCCAAAATCACACCACTATTATACTCTGGCTGAAGGCTTTGCTTTGGACACTGGTAACTGATCCTACAAAGCTAATACTTCATTCTGAAACATTAGAGCTGTGGTCAGAATGGTATATTTTGGGGTTTTACTGGTGATCATGTGACCTAACAATTAAGAAAAGCCTGTAGTAAAACAAAGACCTCAAAATCAGAGATAACAAGAACAGGTGTCCGGCAGAGAACAGGTGTTTCATTTCCCAAGAGAACAAGAGCAGAGGAACACAAATACATACTAGGTAAAGCACAAAATACAAAGCACAGTGAAAAGGCCTTATTGATTTTTTTTTCTTATCAGGAAATTAAATCTGTTTATTAATTAAGGCTAGCATCTGAATCATTCGTTTCTAATAATTATTTTTGTAGCAATTTATGTAAATGTAATTATTTTCTAAAAAATCTTTTAAAATATGACCTTAATTAAAATGTCTTTTTTATAATAAATGACTAAATTAAATTAAAACTGGAGCTGTTCCATGTATAATAAAATCTGACATTTGGTAATGATTTGATATGATTGAATAATTGTGCTATGAGTCAGAGTTGTTTGAATTTTTTTTTTGCTTTTTACTACATTTGGTAAACACACAAGCTAACAGGGAAAATCCAGGGAAAAATAGGAAGCCATGTGAAATATATATTATATTATTAATATATATTATAATATATATAATGAATTTTACTATACTATACTCTTAAGCATATCTATAAGCTTGTGTGCTCCAAAACAGTGACAAAATTCACATTTAGAAGAAATAAATACCCAAAGCTTGAGGTTTGTCACTTGCATCTTATTGACTTAAAATCACTTCATACGTCAGGTTCTCATCAAATCCTTTGACTAATCAAATGCTCTCTATTATATGACATGTCCCGCCCCTTCAAGACACTATACTGCTATATGCACCCCTCACTAGCAGATCTGTGACAAACTGACTGACTTTAGTTTTCTAAAAGGGTGAGGAGCTACTAAACGTTTTAGTTAAAACTAAATCACACACTGAACAAAAAAGCAATTTCAAAGCACTTAACAGGTTTTAAATTGAATGATGTGACTAAACTCAATAATTGAAACTCTTACAATGAGAAAACTGTTAAAATACTTACTTTCTCTTTGTTCACGTTCCTTTAAAATGGCATCTAGCCATTTCTGCTTGTCCTCAGCATTCTTGGCCATGCACACAAACCACTTGTTTTTGGCTGTATTGTGGATCTTCCAGCCATTGGTCACCGTGTAGTTGTTACTGTGATAGTCCGCTAAAAAGACACAAGTATAACGTATAAGTATAAAACTGGGTGAACAGTCAGCACTACTAACATGAGGGCACCAATTAAATGTAACCCTTAAATCAAAGCAAGATTTAGAACCAATTTGGAACTGATATTAGGTAGATAAAATTTGTCAATTAGATAAAATCTCAGATCAAAATCATTAACTATCAGATAATGCAGGAAAAAACTATATTGACTGTCAATATTGATTTTTTTTATTTTTTGGGGGGGTGTCCGGCATGCTTTGGGCATTTTTTCAGTCTAATGAGAAGAAAACATCCAGAATGGACTTTTAAATGTAACGTTTGCTGTAATTTATTTCATCATTACATATTTCAAAGGCTATTTTAGTTTTCTTATGAAATTAGTCATAAATCTTCACTTCAGTGGCATTTACATAACCTTTACATACAATTTTACAATTTTATTTACCTCTGGGGTTTTTTCTATATCCATATTTTATTACATTTATTTATTATATCTGTTTTAACTGATGGATTTGGTTTTCTAGATTACATAATACATATTTTCAACAAAAAAAATAAAATTACAGTATGAACCCAATTGCATATTTAAGCAACGATTTTAAGCAAAAAAAAAAAAAAAAAAAAAACATAAGTAAACAATTCACAGTAATACGTCAACTGGTGAAGCCAAGAGATAACTATTAATAAGGATATATTTATTTAAATTTATATACTATTTATATTTTTAGCTTATTATCAAGTCTAAAAACCATCAGTAAACGAGTTACTGACCAAACACAAATGCTGAAACAGATAATAGGATTTCCTAAAAAATCTAGAGGCATTTAAGTTCCCATGAAATGAAGTTTTTTAGATGTTAGTTTTGTGTTGTTATTGTATTGTTTGTATCGTATTGTTAGTTTATGCATATCTTTAAGCTGGTTTGCTCCAAATCAGTGACAAAATTCACGTTTAGAAGATATAAAACTGATATAAACATGTAAAGCTTGCACTTCCCCCTAAATGAATCAACGTTTTTATTCACATCACCACATACTAAATTTTCTCATTAAATTATAAACGATTAAATGCTCTCTAGTATCTGACATGCCCTGTTCCCTTCAAGACACTTCTCATTCGCTTTTAATTTGATGAGCTTTAGCTCAATCCCTCTCATTGGTAGAGCGGTGATAAAACAAAACACTATTGGCAGTTTTTTTAAAGGAGAGGAGCTACACTATGTCCCACCCTATCTTCGTGTTTCAGTTGAGATTACGTCAAACATCAAATAAAAATGCATATTTTAAAGCACTTCCTTAAATAATGCAGAAAGGCAAAACTCTTCTCATTACATTGGTAAACTGTTAATTTCAGCATTTGAGCATCTGTGGCAGCACTAAAGCAAAGCATACGCGTGACTGAGGGCTTCAGACTGTTACTCGTGCTCCAATTTTTACCCACATCTGACAGCAGGTGAATGATTTGGAGAAATAAATGAGGTATGGAATAGGTAATGAGCAGTGCTTAATGCTGAGGAGGTATAAATAGATTTCAGAGCACTGAGAGGATTTGACGGAGGCTTTTAGCTCATGTAAAACGGAGAGAATTTATGCGTAATCGTATTTGCCACATAAGTCTGGCTCAGTATAATAAACACCAGCTAAGCATTATCTGATTGTTTCCCAATTAAAACACTTACTCAGTCAAAACAAGAAGATCAGATTGCATTAGTTTTTATAAATGAGATTAATGAAGAAACATGGAGTAATTTGAAAATATAGAGTAAAACATTTCCTAGACAAGTGAAATTTGAAATTAGTTAAGTATGGTTAATGCACAAGCTGTCTTTACATAACACACAACACCTTTGAATTGAATCCAATCTTTAGACAAGTTATGAGATGTCATAAGATATGTGTTATAAACGTTATACTTTTATCAGCCAAGTGATTGGCTGATTAGAAATTTGCACTAACGAACAGTTGGACAGGTGTACCTAATAAAGTGGCCGTATAAATGACTAAAATAATAACAAAAAATCTATTTTTTTATTACTCACAGCATGACTTACAAGATTTACATTCCTAGAAGCCACCCGCTCTTGCAATAAAACTGCAAATAGCTACAATATCTGCATTTCAAAACCCATTATGTTTAATCCTCGCCCACAACATGTGAGAGGTTTCATCTGTAACCTTATCCAGTAAGGCAAAACACACCAGCTAACTGATACATACACACAGATGTGGAGTGTCATGTGACACTCAGAGCACTGAAACACAAAACACGCTCTCAACTGAGGGCACATGTGGTTTAGGATGGTACTGCGACAGCGTGTTTTTCAGAAAGGATGTTTTTCTCTGCGGCTCGGAGAGAAAAGAACGAGAAGTTGCACTTCCACCCAGCTACTTAAGGTGTGGTGAAAGACCAAGAGCAAGAGGTGAGAAGAGCAGCCGTTAGTTCCCCAGAGAGCTGAATTTCATGCTCGGACAGACAGCTGAAAAGAGGTGTTAAATGCACAACGCTCGATTCGGAGATCTTATCTTTAGGGCTAATTTCAACTGCATCAGCTGAAGTTCCCTTTAAGTGGTTTTGTTTGTTGCTTGTGATGTTTGCAAGCATCACATGGCGATCAGATGGAAGAAACGAGGATATCATACAGGAAACACCCTTTCACGTCCCATGAAAAAGTTGCTTTGTGTGGAACTCTTCACAAGTTCAGGGTCAGAAAGTTGTCAGTGTTGTTGTTTAAATGAACACTTCTTTTTATTTATAAAGGATGCATTAAATTGAGCCAACGTGCATAATCCAATCACAGATTTGTATTGATTTTGCTTTTGAATATGAACAGATCAACTAAAAATTATTTTGTTTATTCAACCTATATTCAAAAGATATAGGTGACTTCTTGCTTTAGTTCAAAATAACACTTCAGTTTAGGTCAAAATTCACAGTATTAACAAACCACTAACCAACACTACTAGCATAATAAACTACTAATTAGCCGTTTATCAATAGTTAGCAAGGTCGAAGTTGAGTTAAGTTTTTGGGTTGGATTTGGGATGCAGGAAAAGAGCATACTTTATAACTACTAATAAATACTTAACATCTTAAAAATAGACTGGTAATAAGCCAGTAGTTAATAGAATGCATTGTGACCTAAACTAATGTGTTACCGAAGATTTATAGCTGAAACTGTGTTCTTTGGTGAAACAGTTCATGCATACGAATGATTACTTGCATACAGGCAAAACACCAGTGTCTACATTGATGTCTCATAAAGTGAAAAGATCAATCTGTGTAACATACTGAGATGCCATTTACACTAGTGCATTTAGTTTTCACAAGTTTCATAACAGCTACCCCTGGAATCCACACTACTCTGCCATCTTCGCCTGGATGTTTTGAAAATGCTTAAAACTTATAGTTTGAAAACATTGGTGTTCGGTTTCAATAGAGGGACTGAAGCGCAAATGTTTTTTGAAAACAGAGGCACAGCTATCCACAATCAACCTGACTGGTTCTTACTGACTATAGCATATCATTCCCTGATCCAACAAGCTCCTCAAATATGACCAGGAATGTGCCGGTTTAAGATTCTGATGGTATGATAACTTTGGACAAAAATATCAGTTTCACAATATCACTGTATTGTGATTATTGCTCTAAATTAAGATTTTTTTAAATGTCTGGATAAAAAATCATCATCATTGGATCCATACTTTTATTGACATTATGTATCTAGATATCCACTGCTCACATTCATGGTGCAAGAGAGGACACCAGAGTTTGGGTACAAACCTTGGACAAACTTAAAGGTTTACTAATTTGAATCAATGAGACATCAAAAAGCAGAAACTTCTGGTTCCAGGTCCCCTTTTTATTTCTTTTTTTATTTTTTTTATTTCATTATTATTGCCATTTTTTAATTATATATATATTTTTAAAATGTATTTATTTTTCTTTTTATATATGTTTTTCCTTTTTATAGTAATTTAAGGTTTCCTGTTTGGGCTTCTAATAACTTTCATTGTCATAGGCCTCTTTCAGCACGGTTTGGAATACCTATTTCTATTTGTCTATCCCCATGCTTCTATTTATTTATTTTTACTCACTTTACCCTCAAGACAGATTTGGCTTGTTGCATTTTTTGCTTTGGAAATTAGTTTTATGTGTATGTATTTGTGTGTGTGTGTGTATATGTATAAATATTAATTTATTTTATTATTTTTATTTGTTTTAGTATGTCCTTGTCATTAATCTTCAGTTTTTCCTTTTTATTGACAATATTTTATTATTGTTATTGCTGGCACTATTATTAATACTATTATTTAACAATCTGTAATTAATCTGTAATTAATCTGTATATTGGTTATTACATGTATATCTACGCACTTTGCTATATGCTGATTGTCTACGGCATGTTTTTCTGTGTTCAAAAAATACAAAATAAAGAAAAATTTGATGGAAAAAAACTGTCTGGGTAAAAAAAAAAAACTTTTTGTTGGATATAAATGAAACTATTACACTGTTCATGTCTATAGCATGCTTGGTTGTACTGTTGGTGCATAAGCAATTTGTTTTTCAAATGTTTGTTGAATCGTGGACTAAATAAAAAAGGACCATTTCACAACCGGTAGACTACAAGTATGAATGCTGGCAAAATATGTGCATGCCCATTAAACACAAGTGTTAAAATGTGTTTATCATCGTATTCACAGAGATTGTTTTTCCTGGACCCAGTAGAAACATTCATTCATTTTAAAACACTGTTTTAAAACGAAAACATACGAGTGTAAATGCAGCCTGACATTGACAACAATACCTCCTGAGCAGTCCTGAGAATGTTCACAACAACAAGCAATTGACTTACTTTTTATAAAAGCATCAAGCACCACAGTTTTTTTTTTTCAGTTTAGCTTTTTAAAAATCTGTCCACTTGAAGAATAAAAGAAGTGGCCTACATTTTGAACGATCCAAAAGTCAGTAAATAACCAGTATGTTTTCATTTCTGGGTGAGCTCTACCTTTAAGACTGTCAAACTGTATACCACACACAAAGGGGCTATTTTAAACTACACTTTAAAAGCAGTAACAAACTTAAACCTACCAGTTCCATCTTCCACATTCTCGACCTCCATGACCTCAGTGTTGATGCGGCCTCTGAACACATACTGCGGCCCGTTGATGGATTTCGTCCTTTTGGTGGATTTCTTCCCTGACACTCTGCATGTGGAACAGTGAAAACATGAGGCAAGTTTTTAGGTCAATCAATCTGATGGTTGTTTTATATTGTTTACATCTTTCTAGTTATGTATTTGAGTAAAATAAATTCTATAAGCTGATAAAATTTCTTCTGAATTTAAAAAAATACGTAAAAAAGAGTTTGTTTAAGATGCCTATACTTTTTTTGTGATTTTATTGTACATGTTAAATATGATACATGCAATACAAATAGCTTTTCATTTTTCCCGTTGCGCACATACACATTTAGGTTCTACAAAAAAAAAAAAAAAACTATATATATATATATATATATATATATATATATATATATATATATATATAGAATTAAAATAAAAATCAATTAAATAATAATATTAAATAAAAAATATTTTACTCTAAAAAATAAAATAAAATAAAGGAAAATAATAAATCATAGCAAAAATTCTACTCTTCTAAAATAAATGAAGGGTCCATCTTCTTTATGTAATGTAAAACAGCTTGCCAAGTGAGAAAAAACATCTCAGCACCACTTTTTCTTAGGTCAGGTGGTGTAGAGTAAGCGTAGAAAAGGCAATCCCATTTATCTTACTTATATTAAAACATATGGACTGTGTTGTAATACCAAATATTAAAAGAATGGCCTCGGGTTCTACATAGGTATTTAATGGGCCAGAGAGAAATTTAAATACTAGCTGCCAGAAATCCTTTATTTTAAACAAGACCAAAACATATGATATAGAGTGGCTGGCTCAATATTACACAGTCACAATTAGGCTCTATATTCAGTTTAAACTGGGCTAATTTCACTTTGAGCCAATATAATCTATGTACTACCTTAAACTGTATAACTCTTATGTATTAAACAAATTGAAGATGAGTGAATATAATTTAAAATGGATTGCCACATGTCTTCTGATAATTCTATTTCCAGTTGCAGCTCCCATTTTCGTTTTAATTGCACTAGGGGTTGCAGATTATAGGATTTAATTACAGATTTTTTTTTGCCAATAAGTCCCTTTAAGTAGGGGTTAAGCTCCAAAATAGAGTCAAGCAGGGAGGAGGAAGGCAGTGATGGAAAGTGGCTCATTGAGGAAGATGCTTAAATTAATTTTTAAAGTGGGGTGACATTATGGAATAGTCTGGAACAGATCAAAACAGAAGAGAAAACTTTTGGCTAAAAAAAAAAAAATTAAACCGTTTAAAAACATTTATTATTAAAGGAATATGAAGAGAGGCGATTGTGAAATCGGAACAAAATTATGAATTTATTCTGTAATTGGTTAGTTTTCTCCAGAAGAAAAATATTATCAGACATACTGTGAAAATTTCCTTGCTCATTTGGGAAATACAGTATATATATATATATATATATATAATGTATTTCACAAATGAGCAAGGAAATTTTCACAGTATGTCTGATAATATTTTTCTTCTGGAGAAAGTCTTATTTGTTTTATTTTGGCTAGAATAAAAGCAGTTTTAAATTTTTTAAAAACATTTTAAGAACAATATTATTTGCCCATTTAAGATTTTTTTTTCAATAGTCTACAGATCAAATCATAGTTATACAATAACTTGCCTAATTAACCTAACTTGCCTAGTTAACCTAAGGAACATAGTTAAGCCTTCAAAAATGACACTTTAAGCTGTATAGAAGTGTCTTAAAAAATATCAAGTAAAATATTATTTACTGTCATCATGGCAAAGATAAAATAAATCAGTTATTAAATGAGTTATTAAAACTATTATGTTTAAAAATGTGTTTGAATGAGGAAATTTGTAACGGTCAACATGGCGAATGAAGCCTGGTCTACTAGTACAAGAGCCAATCATCAATCGCTATAGACCGATGTTTCTCCAGGGTAGAAGCTCGGACCAGACGTGTGTTTTTACAACAGTTTGATGGTCAACAATAGGACTGGAATCTCAGCGAATACTTGCTTCACAAACATAAGAAATACATCCAAACAAAGCTTGAAATCGCTACTTTTAAATAAACCCACTACACTTAAGAAAAAAAAAGTTTCTTAGTTTTGAAATCTTTATGAAACCAAAGCGAGGTACAGTCCATCCTGTCAAACACATATCACATGACAGCTTCAAAACGATTTATGACTTCAGTCATTTCTGGAGGAGATTTGCCATTAAGACCAAATTGTGAATTACTTACAGAAGACCAGCGCGATCTGACAAAGCATTATCCAGAGGATGATAATGTGTAACATGGCCCATAAATGAGGTTGGTGTCATGATCTCCTTCTTTTCAAGTGAGTATGCTCATTAGCTTGGACTAAAAAAATACTGATTTTGTTTAGTTCAAACCTTTAGAAATTAAATTTATGAGACAGCCGTTGTTTAATTTAATTGGTGATTCCAAATATGTAATGTAATCGTAAGAATGGCAGACAATTTTGTAGAATAACTGTGATTTGTGTAATAATAAATCTAGTATGTTCATTTTACTGGTATCTCTCTCTTTTCTTTCTCAATAACTGTTTCTTTCACAGTTTATTTCAAAGGGACAAAATGATGTCTTTATTTGTTGTTGTGTTTACAATGCTGATTTTCTTGAACGCCTAACCTTGACTTCCTCTTGCAGTAGACTAGGAGGTTGTCAAACAGGAAGAAGACTCGTTCCTGAATGTTTCCAGCTGATATCTTCAACAAGTTGCCTTGGAGTAGCAGTTCAGTACAAATATCAGTCAAGTTTGTTCCCTGGAAAATAAAAAACAAAAAATCATCTTTATCAATGCCATAACAAAGAACATTAGAGCATTTTCTGCTGTGTGAACAAGTTCAACAATTACGTTTTAGGCAAAAGTAATTATTGTTGCTGCAAAACTAAAAGTATGAATAATTGATTTGAATCTATCGATCCATTCATCGATCCCATCAACAAGTGGACATTTATTATGGCCTTGTTTACAATTTCCTTGTGTTTTATTAACAGACAATGCATCTACATTCATTAAAATATAATCTGTTCATTAATCACGATGCTCATTCCATCTAATCTTTAGATAAGATCAGCCTCTCCTCACTCCCAATGCTTCCTATTGGACTAAAAGCAAAAACAATTAAATGCATTACAAAAGCAGCGCCTTTGTCTTTATGGATTGAACAGGATAGGTTTGGTCCTGTTCAATATGCCAGAGCATCAGAAATCGACTGGACTCGTCTGCTGTGGTTCATGCTGACTCTAAACAGGATGTGATTTCCAGCGGTCGCAGGTGTGGGTATGTGTGTGTGTGTGTGTGAGAGTGTGTGTTTGATAAGCAGACTCCATTTTTCCAGCTTAATCAATGGCGTGTCCAGACGGTTCAATTAGAGAGATGGGAATCTGCTTCCCGCTTGTTCTGCACTATTTACCTATAAAGGTGAAACACTCCGGACTAAATGGAAACTTAATGCATTTGCTTTTAAATCAGAGCCCACATCCTGAAACACTGTACAGTATATCTTAGGTAAAGTACAACCTGTTTTTTAAGCTCTCATTGTATGTTGAGTTGAACAGATACCTGATAACTAAGAAGCATTAAAACTTTAAAGAAAAAATGGATAATATTCATTTGATTTTCAACTACTACTATTATTATCATTATTATTATTATCATTATTATTATTATTATTATTTTAATAACAATATTACCATATTATTTATTTTTATTATTAAAATTAATTTTATTGCTATTATTATATGAAATTGATATTAATACATATTTGTAATATCTAATAAATACAATAATAATAACTATATTATTTTTTATTATTATTATTATTATTATTATTTTGAATTATATTTTTATTAGCAATATTAACATATTATTATTAACATTATTATTATTATTATTATTGCTACTATTTTTATTATTTATAATAATAATTATATGAAATTTATATTAATATATACATATAAATTTGTAATATCTAATAAATACAACAATAATAATAAATCTTATTACTATTTTTTTTATTATTATTATTACTATTGTTATTTTATTAGCATTATTAAAATTTGTAAATAATTTTTAAAACATTATTATTATTGCTATTATTATATAATAAAATTATTATTATTATAAGAAATCGATATTAATATATATATTTGTTATATGTAATAAATACCATAATAATAATGTTACAATAACCAGCGATCATTCTCCGGAGATCGCTGGTTTCCACTATACCAGGACTACACTTCCACATATCCCAGGACTACATTTTCATAAATGCACTTCTTCCAGACACGCACGCCTGATTATTTATCTATCCTGATTACAATCACCAGCTGAACCTTGTCAAAGACTGATAACACACCATACAAAAGGCACTCATGAACTCATCCAGGGGGCCGAGTCTTGTTAGCTGTACCAGTAGCATTACGAAGCGTTTTCCCTGTCTGGTTTTCCTGAGTTTAGACCTTAGCCTTGTTCATCCGTGTTCTACTGTTTAGCCGCCTGCCTTTCGACCTGTTGCCTGTTTATATGACTACGATTCTGGATTTGCCTGCACTTACCTGTTTGTACCTGATTTGACCACTGCTTGCCTGACGCTGAATAAACCTGCATATTGGATCTTACATTCTGTTGTGGTGTCACTCCCGTCGTTAAATAATGATAATAATAATAACATTTATTACTATGATTATTTTTTTAATTATCACTAATATTATAATTTTGTATTAACAGCATTAACTTATAATTTTTATTATTGCCAATTTGCCACTATTATTATTATTTTTTATTATTATTATTTTTTTATTACTGTCACAAATATTATTGTTTTTATTAACATTATTAACAGTATTATTATTTTATTATTGTTAACATTTTTTATTTTTGCAATTTGCCACTATTATTATAATTATTTTAATGATTATCACTATTATTTTTATTATTATCATTAATATTATTATTATTTTTAGTAACATTATTAACATATTATTATTTTTATTATTATTAACATTATTATTGTTGCCTATTTGCCATCATTATTATTATTGTTATTATTATTATTATCATCACCATCATCATCATCATTTTATTTTAGTCACTAATATTATAATTTTTATTAACATTTTTATTATTAACATTATTATTATTGCCAATTTGCCACTATACATTTTCTTCTTGTTCTTCTTCTTCTTCTTTTTATTATTATTATTATTATTATTGTTATTATTATCCTCATCATCATCATCATCAATATTTTTTGTCACTAATATTTTTATTTTTTATTAACATTATTAACCTATTATTACTATTATTAATATTATTAACATTTTTATAATTGCAATATGCCACTTTTATTCTAATTGTTTTAATTAATATCACTACTATTTTTTATTATTGTAATTAATATTATTTTTATTAATATTATTAACATATTGTTATTTTAATTATTATTAACAATATTATTATTGCCTATTTGGCATTATTATTATTATCATCATCATCATTTTATTTTAGTCACTAATATTATTATTTTTATTAACACTGTTAACCTATTTTTATTATTAACATTATTATTATTGCCAATTTGCCACTATTCTTCTTCTTTTTACTATTAATTTTCTTCTTCTTCTTATTATTATTATTATTAATAATATTATTATCATTTTTAATATTATTATTATTATATTATCATCATTATTATTTTATATTATTTTTGTCACTAATATTTTAATTTTTTTAACATTATTGTTGTATTAGTATATATTACATTATTATAATATATGAAATTATTTTATTAATTAGTGTTCACATTCTTTAACATTTGAGTAAATAGTGGCAGTTTTAAAGACAATATCCTAAAATAATCCCCCGATTCTCATATGCAGGAATGTTGTTGCTGAGGTGTGATGGGCTCAGAAAAATAACCCAACAGAAGCCAGACTGCACAGTATGCAATAAATTGTGAGAATTTTAACCATCTAAGCACACTTAGCACTCACTGCCGGCTATAGAAAACGCCCCACTTTGTACAGCCACTCAGTACTGCATCAGATAAATCAATAAAGAGGGTTAATGGACAGGGTACAAAGAGCAAGAAAAAGAGAGGATGAAGACAAAGTAACTATAGGGTTCAGAGAAAACAATGAAGAAAAAGAGGAAAGAGACAGACTAGAAAAGAAAAAAGATCAGCAAAGTGTTTGAAAGAAAGAAAGAAAGAAAGAGGGAAATAAAGAGAGAGGGAGGAGGGTAAAGCGAGTATGTGGTGTCACACTGGTGCATGTTACACAAAACTAACACATCTCCATGGTATCAGGCCTTTGTGTTTGGACTTCCTCTTCCTGCATCCTAAGAAAATGTCATCAGTAGACACAAGGCGACACTCATCTTTTGAAAGCCTACTCTAAAAAAGTAAAAATTTTAAACACAAAGCACACTGTTCTCCAAAAGAAACCCTGGTTATTAAAGCTTGCATGGCTTAATATTATGTAAAGGTTTGTTGCTGAAATATGTAGTAAAACGTTGAAAAATGTGCATTGTTTAAAAAAAAATCATAAATTTTACACCATGGTGGACAATTTTATAAGTTGATTATAAGTGATTATAAATAAATATTATAACAATTTTACTCTGTGAGCTAGTGATGCTGTCTGTGAATATTTATATACACATGAGTAAAGGCCCATGCACACCAAGACGTTTTTTGCTCACGTTTTCCGTCAACGTTTAACGGCTCGTGACTATATAAAGGGCGTCAATGTGATTCTGCACCCAACATGCAAAACACCAGGCGCAAAAGCGTCATTTAAAAAAAGCGTCTCATGCCCAATTTTATTTTTTATTTTTTTGACGCGCCGCGTTAAAACCTTCTCCACCTGCTGAAGTTACAGTAAACAGCACTTGGAAGCGCTTAAGCGCAAAACTGTCAATTCAAGCGCTCTTCTGCTTGACGACAGTGAAAATCGCTTGAGTTTGAAGTTCAAATTGAAAACAGCATTGCAATTCTCAAGCAAATCAAAATGAGCATTGCAATTGACTAGACGTGTTTTGTAAAGGTAATGCTATAAAAATGTTTTGCAAACATATGTAGTTTTTTTATTATTATTTAATTCCAGATACGATAGGTTTTTTATTTGCACTGCTTGATCTTCATTTGCAGTTCTTTTTTTGTTTGAAAATGTCCTTTTTATTTCACAAAAATCTATTTTCGCTTTGCAATTTTTAGAGATTTGCATTTATTTATTTTTTGCTCAATAGTTTATTTTTTGTTTGCATTTTTTTTGCAAATATATATGGCCGTAGATTGACTCGATAGAAAAGCTTTTTTTGAACTCCAAAAAGTTTTTGCTCCTAAAGGGGGAAAAGTTCAAGAAACTTTTGGAGCATTTTTGGAAAAAATGGATTTCCCCTTACAAAAATAAATAAATAATGTAGACTCTGCGTCCACGAATTTGTATGCTTTCAATTGTTATTTCGTGATGTCTAGAAGATATCCGCATGGGGAAAAACTCTGGTAATTTACAGTAAACAAGTTTTTGAACCACATAGTAAAGTGCATAATGTGTACAACTCTTTGCTAACAAATACTACAGAACACTGTAGCATAGTAAACTGTAATAAATACCAAAACGTTAGTGTAAACTATGTTGGTGCACTTGATAGTGTGTAATTATAGCATAGAAAACTGAAGCTAGTTGAGTAATTTGTTTATTACTACAGCTGAGTTGTACCAAAGCAACAATAAAATTACTACAACAGTTTAATTCAAGTAAATATCTATATTATTCATCCAAACACTTTAGTATTTACTATAGTATTTTTTTCATGTAACCTAATAGCTTATACAGGATGTATCGCCTCAATGACAGGCAAATTTGTTTGTTTTCGAAGAAAACTCTGCCCTCTTCATGATATAAGGATCATGCCCAACATAAGTGATTATTACTATTTATATCTCCTTTGAAATATGGTATAAATCGCAAAAATACGGACTTTCCTCTATGTCTCCAATTTAATTTTTTACTTCCTGCCCTCCATCTGAATTTCGAACATCACCAGAACCACGTGATTGAAAACAACCTATACATAGATTTAGTATACTATGACCTACATCTCTGAAGGTGTGTGTATGGTTATTTACTTTATTTGTATTTTGAGTTGTTCTAATGTAAAAAGAGTGATCAAATACCAAATTGCATGGCTTTCATTTGAAAGTTTCTGTCAAAGGACAACTTTGTTTTTACCATCTTACCACTGATACCTTTGAGGCATTTAATAGACCACAGCTACTGAAAGGATCAGCAACGGATCTAACTTTAAACCAGATGCCATACCATTACGAAACAGTAGCGACAGAAAACTGTAGATGCCTTCCTGGCATAATAAAAACCTGCTGATGGTTGTCATGATGAGGCAGACACTGAGGGGGAAAGCTTAAACTTATTGAGAGTTTCACTGGATTTACTAAGTGTGCAGTGTCCTCTAGATGTGACTAAAACATTTGTCAGCATGTTTAGTGTCTGGTGTTTTTTCTCTGTGTAGATTTCACATGTTATCTGGGACATTTAAGGTACTTGAGAAGACAAACTCCACACAATGAGGCATCGTATGAGTAATTCATTTTTCGAGTTGAGTTGTAGTAAGAATAGCAATGCAGCCACTTGATTGAAGTGAAGAACTGAACATAAAACAACCTCATTGCAAAATTACTGCAATAACATAAATCTTTTATGGCTATTATACTACATATTTCAGTAATGTACATCATTTACATTATATAGCTAGAAGTCATACTCTAAAACCAGCTTGTAAAACTTCTTGTGAAAGATGGTTGAATATTGGTTATTGATAACGCAGCAATGTCAACATTAGTACTGTATACTTGACAGTAGACCTACCTACTGTCATTGTATTTTTTTGCCTTCATCTCATTGTCTCTAACATTCTATATATATATATATATGTGTGTGTGTATTAGCGCTGTCAAAATTAGTGCGTTAACGCATGCGATTAATTTTAAATAATTAACGCGTTAAAAAATTAACGCAATTAACGCAGTTGCAGGTTTTTTTTTTACTTCCTGTTTTGGTGGACGTGTGTTTAACATGCAAGAAATGTGGATAAGACCAAGGAAGCATTTTTTGAAGGCAAGTTTCAGTATAAAACAATTAGTTGCATCACAGGTTATCCAGAGTTTCATGCAATTTCGGGTTTCATTTTTAACTTTCTGTTGTAAGTTGATACCGCATGGCGAACAGAAAGAAAATCCTCCGCATTTTGTGACTCGGTGTTCCTTTTATGGTAATAAAATCACTGCTTAGGCTACACGGTAGAATTTTAATAAGAGTATAATCTTAATCATATTAAAATCGAAGTATTGGTGTCTTATGTACATGTACTCAGAAAGTCTCTGGTGAAGTCGCGAGCTGTCAAAGACAGGGCATTACTCTGCCTTTCAGCATGAGCACTCCAAGTTTAGCGTGTTTCATCATTAAACGCAACGAAAGCGTCTGCTTCGCGTTGTTGTGTCAGAATCCTTGTGAAATACAGTAATACTTTAGAACGCTTAGTTTAAGCAAATTTGATGAACACGATCACGCGTGTTGCATCTGAAGGGAATCGCTCCAGCGCGTTGTGTGTGTGTCTGTGTCAGGCCCGTTGAGGGGTGTCAGAGGTGGAGTGAGCGACGTATCTGAGTAGGGGCGTGTGCGCGTGAGACGTACCTGAAGTCTAGGAGGGATGCGGTGGAGAGGGGTGTGCAACGTATTTAACGACCGTTTTGTGAGAGATTATCATTCATTTGCGGGTATCCGGGAGTCTCTGTGCATTTGCGGAATACTCCTAGTTTTAGCAACTGGATGAATGTAAAGGAGGATTTAGCAAAATTGTTTCTACTTTATAATTAATATTCTCAAATAAAACTTTACAATGAGTGCAACTGTTTGTATTCAATAGTTTATTATTATAATTTTCCATTTTCCATATATGTAATGCCTGTATTTTGGCATTTTTTTGCAGTCCACTTAAAATCCAACATGGAAATCAATGTTTTTTTATTGGCATTGATTGTTTTGAAATTTAAATGTCATTAACATGCCTGTGTTTTAATTCCTGTAATAAATATGGCTGTCAAGCACGATCTTGATGGTTTATTGTGGGTATGTTGTTTACATGAATAAATCTGTTACAAAAATTCTAATAACAATTATATATTGAATTTAAATTGTTTTTGTCTTGCGTTTACATTAATTTTACATTTGAATAGCCAAAATTACAAGTTTCAGTATTTTAAATACGATTAATCGCGTTTCATTTTTTTTAAACAGTGCGATTAATTAGTAAATTTTTTTAATCGATTGACAGCACCAATATATATATATATATATATATATATATATATATATATATATATATATATATATATATATATATATGATGAAAGAATTGGCAATTTTGGGTGAACTATCTATAAGGGTGCACTCACACCAAACTATCCAAATCGTGCCTGGGTGCGTTTCCCAGTTCGTTTGATAAGCACAAATGCTCCGATTCTGGCCCGGCTGGTAGAGGTGTGCCAATGCGCTACTCGATAGGGCATTGGTGCAGCACGCTTGTAGTGAGAGTGCAAATTACGCCTGAGTCCGAAACTTAAGATGCAACGTCACTTTTAGGAGACTGTTTCATATGGATTAATTACTATATCATTCATACTTTTCAATGATTGAGAATTGTCATGTTTTATTAAATATACAACCCTCCGCAGCATGTCAGCTGCACCTTCAATAAATCTCCTAATATGTGCAGCACTATGACTTTTATGATAATTTATAAGAATCAAAAATTGAGGATTGGTTCAGCAAAATATTTGACTGTGCTTCACTGCATCTCAAATGACTTAACATGTTACCAAAAGATACATCAAAAGCAAAGTCCACTGTGCATCTCTTCTATTAAACTAAACAGTCACATCATTGGTGTGCTCAGGCTCGGAGGGAAAAATGCAGTGTGAAAACAGGCTGTCGGGGGAGAAGGACGGGAGACAATCGCACTTCGGCACAGTTCAACACAAGTGTACATAGTGTGAGTATACCCTGAGAGGTCCAACTGATTCTGGTCTGTTTCTTTAAAACCAGCAACTTAGGAACCAGCCCAAACTTGATGCACCATGTATGAGAACTACTAGATATATCTGAAACTCACCTCCCAGCCCTCTATGTGTGACTGTAATATCTCAAGAGCCTCTAATTTCTCCATCTGCCGCTTGGTCTCGTTGATGTTGCAGCACACAGCTTTCATGGCCTGCAGGGCTTCCTCTACAGCAGGGTAATCTGAATGCTTCTTAGGAGTTCTCTTCAAAAGTTCCTGAAGAGCAAACAGCAGGTACATGCTTGTGTTACACAGTGGCGCGTCTACTGTCTGTTGAAATTCTTCAGATACTGTGTACTAGGAATATAATGGAGTGTCTAATGGTCGAAATTAAACCCTTTTTTATTAGTGGTGCTTGTTCAAAAGAAAAATATTTAAATGTACATTACCATTTGGTCAGTTATATGCTGTGTAAATAGTGCAACTGATTAATCAAAATAAAGTGAGTTTTTGCTTAAAACAAGCAACATAATCAGACAATGGGGGTAACCAAAATAAACTTGTCTTCGCTTTGAAACAAGATTATTTTGGTTACCACATTGGCAGATTATTTAGCTTGTTTTAAGGAAAAACTCATTCATTTTGGCTAATTATTTCTAAAACTAAGACAATATTTTTGCTTGTCTAAGAAATGCTTCTTCATTTAGAAATTTTTAGATATTTGTACAAGAAATGTCAAAAACTCCCAAGAAAATAATTTTTTGCAGTGTGTTTATATAGACATCGATACAATTATTCAGCAATTATGCATGGAACTGTCACAAATGACAGTAAATGCATCTAAAATGCATTAAGCAGCAAATCAGCTTATTATAATGCTTTTGTAACGATTATTTGTTAATGTAAATCATTTAACTCTTGTTTACAGTTACAAAGTCTAAAGATTTTGAATATTTTATTATATCATTTATTGATTCTTGCTGTATATATCTCAGACAAGAATTTGTGGCACTTAAAATTGTGTTGCACGAAACGATACTTTAGTCTATGTCCTAAGTAAATCATGATAAAAAAATATATGTCACTGGTGTATTACATGCCTGTAGCCTTCGAAAGATCCACCCCCCCACACTGACAAAGTTCCAGAATTTGTCCCTTACATGAGCTCAATTGTTCTATTTTGACTGCTATACCATAATAAATTGTGAAAATAACCCATCAAAGGCTTTAAGACCAAGTGGAATTTGACGTAAAAGAAGTCATCTTTCACTGACCTACTGTACTGTTGTTAAATAGAGAAAAACATTTTACAAGGAATTTTTATTGTGAATCTTGGACCTTACTTTCGAAAAAAAATCTGACCAATAAAATAGTGTGAAGCACAGAAAGTGGACCATATTACAGTTAATTATAATAGTAATTTTGCTATTGTTGTTATTTATTTATTTTCAAATGTACTCATTATTATGTTTGAATTTTTCAATATTCAATTGGCCAAATTCTGACTGAGGAAAGTTGAATGTGCTGCTCAGTTTGTTACTTGCCTAATAAATGACATTAAGATTTGCAGTTTTTAAACTTTAAAATTTAACAGATATTTTTTTCTAATGATATATGATACAATAAATATCTTTTTTAAAAATGTATCTTTTTTTCTTCATATTTCTTCATTTTAAATCTCAAGCTCAAAAAAGTGCTTAAAATGTCACTAAAATGCAACATTTAAACTTCATAATTAAATAGAAAATGAGGCATATAACTGCAAGGAGAAAAAAGAACCACCCCTTTCAGCAGGCTGGCGATGAAACTGTATTACTCACATAAAAATAACAGTAAACTAATCACATTCTAAAACGTCAAAAGAAAAAAATTCTATAATTCACTGTTTTATTATACTGATGCACAAAAACCCGTTTCCAACCATGTCCCAAAAACAAACAACATCTTTGCCTATAACGAAAAAGGTAGCCTTACCCTTAATAGCAAAGGGTATTTACAGATCCTCTGTATAGGCGAGAGGAGATACCCTTCAAGAGGAACATCTGTGCTCTTCTTACCACCTAACAACATGAGGTGCTGAAAAAAAAAAAAAAAAAAACACATGACCTGATTAATTCAACATCCTTCTATCTAAACAGATACATGTTGAGTTTCCATGGAAAGCTCTGAACGACACTCTCGATTTCTACAGTATAACTTTAGGTATCAGTTTCACTTCAAATAATTTTGGAGATTAAAATTAATGAGTGTATGTGTAATGTTTATTCACGACAATCAGCAATGAAATCTGTTGCTGGGTTACAAATGCAGAACTGAAGTGACAGTACTGGCGTATGAGGGATTTTCGTCAGAATATGATATAATAAAAATGATGGGATTTTTTTTTGAAAGCATCAGACATATAAGTGGTGCTTACCAGCAGAAAAGCCCGTATGTGAGGGATCTTGTTGAGCTCCATCAGTAGTCTGAGTGCTTTCTCATGGTTACTACAGTACTCGCCATACACTGAAAAACGCACTTTCTGTAGAGGAAACAAAAGAGTTATACTTCAAAATACTTTTTGTTTTTTTGGAATGAGACCATCTAAACCAGGGGTGCCCAAACTTTTTTAATGAAGGGCCAAAAACCAAACTTGATAGAGTGTGATGGGCCGAAGCTAAATATACCAAACTGTATTAAATTATTTGCCATAGTAACTTTACTAATTTAATAATATTTAAAAAAATAAATAGAAAAAAAATATTTAATCATATTAATAATAATTACTTTTTTTTTTACAATACTGTACTTATAATACAATAAAACCATAAACAATCTCATTAACACAATGGAGTTCCATGCTTTTTTTAAATTCGCAAAATAACCTTTTTTACTCGATAGTGAAATGTCCTATAAGTGTGATTTTAGTAACGTGCCACACACATATACTCTATTTGTCGACATCTAAAATGTGCTTAAGGATTTCATGGCTCTAAAAAATCCAATTAATTCACAATATTTAATCAAAACTTTTTATTTCACTTTGCTTTTTTTTGTAGTTGTTCAATTAAACAAAAATGTTAATTTAGTGACTATCTCTGTTGAAGGCATTTGCCCCAACCTTACCCATTCTTCTCTCTCTCGTCTCAGATGAGATCATGGGCCAAATCAAATGTTACTATGGGCCACGTTTGGCCTGCAGGCCCTAGTTTGGGCATCGCTGATCTAAATAGATTTATATGCATTTTTTGAGTAGAAAAGAGGCTTTTGTGCTCTGTTGAAGACTTAGTTTAACACAAAATGAAATTTCACACACAATTCACTCAAGTAATTACTGTCTTTTTTTCTGTTGAACACAAGAGAAGATATTTTAAAGAATGTTGGAAAACTATAGCCACTGATATACATAGTAGTAAATACTATGGAAGTCAGTGGCTACAGTTTTCCAACATTCATCAAAATATCTTCTTTTGTGTTTAACAGATGAATGAGACAGACTTGGAGTCACTTGAAGTTAAATAAACAATCAGAGAATTTTTTATTTTTGGGTGAACTACTGTATCGATTTGACATCCCTTAACTATTAAACTCAAATGCTAAGGGGACGAGTGACAAGGAGAAAGAGTTTCAGGTAGTGAAACTGCCAAAGAAGCATAGAGACGCAGTCACTCTGCCACACTTTATTCGAAACAACACAGGAAGTGAAATCGAAGTGCATAGGTTACATCTAAAGGCCACACCTCCTCTACAAGCCACAAAAGCTACAGTACATGGATACAGGAAGTTGAGAGAAAAAAAAAGAAAGAAATGCAGCTCATCTTTATTCACTTTAACATTGAGCAGTTTAAATCTCCGATAAAACATGGGATAAAAAGAATCTGCACAAGGTTCCCATACGAAAGTTTGCAGGGGACGTCATTCAACTGCTATTTTAAATCATCAAAATGTGGAGTATGTAGTGACCAAATATGTATAAACAAATAAAAACTTGATTAATCATAAGAGCTCTGCACACATGTGGTGAAGTGCTTTTAAACAGCTTATACTCTTAATATGGTCCAACATTTTGTTTTGTTTTTTAGGAAAAATAATTATTGCAATAAAAATGATAAATTATGTAGTAAAGTAAAATGAACAGCTGTGTATTCCAAAATGTGTTAACTTGCTCGGAAACTTCCTCACACCCTCTGACATGCTAACCAGAGCCTAAAGAGAAATTTGATAATTTTAACATCGATATTGATAATAATTAATAGTATAATGTGTCTCTCTTTGCAGGACAAGAGCTTGGGTGGCATCTTGGATGGCACACTTTCTTTTGAAGGTCATATTCATAATTTCACACAGACTTCATATTTATTACTGCATAATTATTACTTGTCCTTCTCTCAGAACTAATAATACTGCAATTTTCATCCATGCACTATTCACTTCACGTAATGACTACTGCAGTGCTCTTCCTTCTAAACTTCTCCATAAACTCAAACTGGTTCAGAACTCTGCAGCTTCTGTCATTTCTAGGATTTCATTTCACAATTTCACAAACAAGCCACACCACATATTATCAGCTTCACAGACTTCTAAAAAGTATCCCATCAATTTTAAAATATTTCTCTCTTTTAAGGCACTTCACAATCTTGCTCCTCAACATCTCACCAAACTTCTCCAAATCTATACCCCTTCTCACACTCTTAGATCATCTAACTCTATCTCTCTGGAACCACCCTGTACTCGATTAAGCCAGATCTTTCAGCTCTTTGGCTCCTCAGCTATGGAAATTGCTTCCATTGGATTTAAGGAGCAGTGTAGGATTTAAGCAATAGTCTTCACACTTTTAAATCCTGCCTTAAGACCCAAATTGTTAAGCAGGCTGTCTTATGATTTTTTTATTATGTTATTTTATATTTAAGATGTTTTTGTATTTGCATCTCTTTTCATGTATTTGAAAATTATGATTGGCAACATTTTATTAATTGTTTTTGGTATGTTTGCTGATGTTCATTGTAAGGCGATCTTGGGTGTCCAGAAAGACGCCATTCATAAACAAAATTAATTATTATTTAACTATAGACAAGTTATTATTAATTCTAACTTAATTCATTGAAAAAAAGTAATATATTTTTTAAATATCCTGTTTTGATTAGACATTTTAAATACATATTTTTTGTAAATAAAAGAGTAAAGTAAAACTATTCTATTATTACATATTATTTTATGTTATTTGATTATTTATAATGACAAAACAACCACAAAACTTTATTAATGAATAAAACAAAACAACACAAAACAACATAACACAAAACAAAACAACCAAAACACAACAAAAACAACAATACACAATGCACAATAAAACAAAAACAAAACAACACACAAAACATGCTACAAAACAAAAACACACAAAACAAAAAACAAAACACACAGAAAAAAAGCAAAACCACACAAAACAAAACAAAAACACACAAAAACAACAACAACAAAAAACAAAGCAAAACAACAAAACACACAAAACTAAAAACAAAACACAAAACAAAAACAACAAAACACAAAACAAAACAAACAAAACAAAACAACAAAAACACACACAAAGCAAAACAACAAAACACACAAAACAAAAACAACAACACACAAAAAAATACAAAACAAAAACAACAACACACACAAAACAAAAAAATAATCTGCCTGAGCTGGGTCTACTAAAAGGTCCAAAATAGCAGTTCATCTGGATCAAATCAGGGCTGAAGTATCAGTTTATTAAAGATGCATGTGGTGAAGGTAGAATGTCATTTATCTGAGCTCCACAGGAACAGTCTGTGTAACCTTGATGAGGACGCTGTGGATCCTGACGGCTGAGTCTGCTCGAGGTGTTCCGACAAACCAGGAAAACTATACTGGAATTCTAAGGGCAACGTGTGTTTGGAAAACTGTTTGTGTTTGTTTTCCTCTTCACAAAACATCACAATTTCCTGCTCTCTGATTCCTCTCCCTTTTCCCCTAGAATTTGCATGCTGTTTGTAGGAGTTTGTGTATTCACAGAGGATCTGGCATTTGCATTAGTGTCTGTGTCACTACTCTGGTTTGGGCCCTCGGGGCTCCAGACCTCAGCACCTGTAATGAGAGAGTTTGGCAGCATCGCACACCCTCATCCATGAACAAGGAGAACATCTGTCCTAGCATATGCTTTATTGCGCCGTTCATCCAAACACACACACACACACACACACACACACACACACACACACACACACAGTCAGTACAATTAGGGGAAATTCACTGCAGTTTGAGGTTAAAACCTCAGAATGTTTCAGTGAACTTGGTTGAAGGTCAAGAACATATGCCAAATCCAAAACATCCTTTGAGAACTGTGGAGAGAGTTAAACCGCTGGATTTAATTTATATGACTCTAAAAAATATAAAGACTACTACTGACAGCCATCAGTGAGGTATAATTAATCAAATCACTGATTGCTGTCATTACCATTATAACCATTTAAAAGTTATTCAGTGTTTGTACTGTTACCCATGGAAGTTTATAGACTTAATGGCCAAAGAAGGAAAAAGGAGCCTCAAAGTCACAGCTCTATTGCATCATCACCATGACCACTGTACATTTGAAGGTGTTTATCAGTTAAATCGAACTTTTCTAGAACATTTGTGTCTAAGTAAACATTTCAAACACTTGAAACAAACTTCATTTTGAGCGGTTTGAAGTGGTATCACCTCAGTACATTATTGGATTTCACCTGAAGCACCCTGGGGCTATTAGGACCAAAAAAAAAAAAAAAACTGTATGTGGAGAGTACTGAGCTGATAACAATACTTGTAATTTATTGTACACAACAAAGCAATTATTTTGAAAATTCACAAATGAAATCAGTTATTAAGGAATCTATCTATCTATCTATCTATCTATCTATCTATCTATCTATCTATCTATCTATCTATCTATCTATCTATCTATCTATCTATCTATCTATCTATCCATCCATCCATCCATCCATCCATCCATCCATCCATCCATCCATCCATCCATCTATCTATCTATCTATCTATCTATCTATCTATCTATCTATCTATCTATCTATCTATCTATCTATCTATCTATCTGTCTATCTATCTATCTGTCTATCTGTCTATCTATCTATCTATCTATCTATCTATCTATCTATCTATCTATCTCTTTTACATATCAATTATAATATCAAATGAATGGGCGACAGTGACAACGTTTACATGGACATCAGTAATCATATTATCTGCCCTAATCCGAATAAGACAATAATATGATTAGGATTTTTACATGTGTTGCTTTTTGAATGTTCCTTTTATGATCCTGTTATAGAACATGATTAGATTAAAGTCATTGTGTCACCACGCTATCCACGTTTCACAAAATTTCAGGAGTTTCGTTTTTAATTTGTCGACTTTAACTGCAGTTTGGCACTTTCAGTTTCATTCAGGAACATATCATTCATGTCCCCATGACAAACTGTGGTATTGGATGCGAGTATGAAGTAAGGACTAGTGGGAGAGTGTTGTTTTAATACAATTTGATACCGCACGCCATATGGGGAAATAAAAACTGTACATTTTGTGATGCAGGTGTCTGTGGTCCTTCTCGATAGGTACAAAAAATAGTGTCAAACAACCTTGTATGTATAGAATATCCTGTCACAAAATGCGGCGAAAAGTCCTACAAGATGGTGATAGTTTAATAATCTTCAATAATGCGACTAAAAACTTTGATCTTAAATAATGCAGATAAAAATTTGATTTCTGTTTAGTTCGATTATGACTTTAGTCGGATTAGGCAATCAAAAATTACGGTTTACATGGCAGACTTTTATTCAGAATGTTGTTTTATTGTATTAAAATTGGATTATTGGTGTCCATATAAACATCCTCAATAAATCCCAAAGTGAATTGCCTCAAATGAATCTTTCAGAAATGTAATCATATCAAAATTTTGAACATTTAAATGGCAAATGTAAAACAGTCTATTGCCAAATAAATTCCCAAGAACATTCTTCTGAGTAGCAACTCTTCCATATCCAGAAACAGGTTCACAAAACAATGCTGTATATACTTTGAGCTTAACCTATGATCATTTCAAGAACTATTTTTATTTTCATAAATAAAACTACCTTTCACTGCTTTAAAAGTTAACAAACCAACAACTTAAATAATAATCGGAATATGGATGTTTTCTTGAAGTGCTGATCTAATGATCTAAGATCTAATAAAACACAGATAACTGCTAAAACAGACATCATTAAAGCTTTCCATCTTCTGTCTGAACTGAACATGTTGCTACAACTGGAATTCAGTGCCACCTATTAAGGTCATTTTTTTTATTACACTGGTCATATGGCTACATGTTTACACACTTTTTCTTTAAGAACAGAGGGAAGGGAGGCAGTATTGAGGCTGTTTTGAGAGAATGGAGCAATCTGGTTACTGGGAAAACACTGGGATGAACTGAGAGTAAGATTTTGAGGTTTGACTGACACTCAAGTTTTTTTTGCTACGCAGCAAAGCACTAGTTCAAAGATGATTTGAAATGCAATCTCTTAGACTCACAAACTGGAGAAAAACATGTCCGAGAGAATGATGCGCCTGGGGTTCAGGCTGCAAACTGGCATCTAGAGTGGAAAGGAACTCGCGATGGACATCCAAAATGGATTCGATGTTGGAAAACAAGACCTGTGAAGAAAGCATAAAAACAATAGTTCAGAAAATCAGCGACAATGAAGGCTCTTGATGTTTTCCTCCCGAAGCATTCAGACATCTATGTTACACTAAAATTGTCGCACTGGTATCAAACTGACAGGGCTTTCTTTTAAAGAAATGCAGCTTTAAGTAAATATTCCACTCAAAGGTTTGCTACGATTGAATAAATATAATAAATTCTGTGCAACAAGTATGAGTCCAAATATTTTGTAATTACAAGATGGCTAGAAAACTAGAATAATTTGTTTGCCTGTGGTTTGCTCAATTCATCTGGATGTACTGCATATTTTCTACATCTGCATGTAAAGGTTTTTGTGCGTGTTATTGGTTTTACCTTGACCTGCTCCTGAGTCAGACATTGCTGGTTTTCTGCAGTCTGTCTAATCCTCTGGAGAAAAGCCTGTTGATTTACAAATAGAGAGAGATGTAGAGAAAAAAGTTAGTGTGCAGTTGTGGAATCACTGCTGTGTGAAAAAGGTGTGGCAGATTTGTATATTCACCACACTTATGCTCATTTTTTTGAAGTTGTAACACTTCCTGTAGGCTTACACCCTATTTTTGCCTGCTACTCTGACTGGAAACTCAAAATTCAGCTTTAGTGACAAAACACACACAACAGTGTGAAGCCAAACTCCACATGCTGTACTGTCTGCTTTAGCATCACTTTAAAGTAAACCGAATAAAAGAGAGGAAAATGTTCAGGATTCTTTTTATTCTGATCGTCAATGGGCTCTATGCACAACTAGTGTTTTTCAGCCAATGATGAATTTTCGGTGAAAGGTTTATGTGACTATTTTCATAAGGTTCATGTTACAGCATTGATGTTGTAATATAATACAAATATAATCCGTTAAATAGACCTAAGCAGCACCCATTTTGGTTGTTAAATCGCAAAAAGAGCCGAAAGACCATTTAAACGCAGGCGCCGTCTAGGAATGCAACGATTATAGATTTTGGTTGTGCGATTATGGTTTGAGGAATAATCACGGTTTCATGGTTATCACGATTATTATGCATTCATTCAGTTCAAAAACCTCTAGTTTAGAAAATCACATGAAAACACCTTATATTTTAAAGTGTTTTTATTTTTGCTCAGTAACCATACTGCACAAAATAATATTAAAAACAACCAACAGTCTATTTCTCTTTGGACTTAAAAATAAGTGAATAAAATGGCAAAACGTTTTGCCATTTAAATAGAAGTAATACTTTTACACTAAAAATAAATGACAAAACAATGAATAAAAAATTCAATAAAAAAACTTGATTAAATGAAAAAAGTATTTGTCTAATTTAAATCTAAGCTATTAGCCAAGTATTTCTCTTTTAAAGAGAATAAATTTAGTCACAGGCTGCAGAAAATCTGTTTAAACCAACTATATTGCAAATTATTTTGGTATTTTTCTGTGTATATTCCATAAAAAGTGTGAAGATGAATGGTCCAGTTCGTGTCACGTGACTGGCAGTGTGCTCAAGACTTTCTTTCAACTAGGTGTGTACCTAGAAAGCATGAGTCACAATGCAAGCCGAGCCTCCATTGAAAATAACGAACTTGCGCACACAAAAAACACTATGTGTATAACCCTTCCCTAAAAGCTTTAGGTATATTTAATTAGCTGCGATGTACAATTTAAGAACTTCAAACTAGAGCACAGTTGGCAAAACTTTGTTTAGTTGCAGCAGATTTGTTCGGTGCAACACGGTGTTAAAACACGATGTTGAAAAAACCTTTACGATTAATTAACCGTGACAAATGAAATCGTTGTTAATTGTGAAATTGGTTAATCGTTGCACTCCTCGCGCCGTCATTAGCTGCAGGCTAGTGCAGAAATTCCATTGAAAATACTGGGGTAAAATTAATGTCTATATTTTAAAGACATGGCATGGAAAAATATAATTTAATGCAGTGCTTCTTGTTTGGTCTGATACCCACTTTTTATTGTGACTCAGCCAGGTAGTGAAGATCGTTTTTTTCAAAGAATTCAGATCTTAAACACGACGATTTTGTATGGAATAACAATTAACTGGAAGCCCTGAGGCTGGCTGACTGAAAATAAAAGTCTGTGTGCATAAACCCCATTGAGACATTCTGTTAATTGTATGTAGCTTTTGAATGTACTTGGCCACAATGGAAATAAAGTGTTAGCAGATATAAAGTTTACTAATGCTCAAATCATAGCAATCTGCAGTTACTTCAACAGAATTTATAAAGGGGACCATCAAAATTAATGGCATTCTTTGCATAAAATTTTGTTAAAATTTTTGGAGATTTAGTCATCACTGCAAGACTCCAACACTCTAATCTACAGTAAATTTAAAAAAAAAGTCTAGGGGCATAACGGTGGCACATGTTTTCCCCAAGTTGATGTGGGTTTCCTCCAGGTGCTCCGGTTTCCCCCACAGCCCAAAGACATGCACTATAGGCATCTGCAGCGTAAAACATATGCTGGATAAGTTGGCGGTTCATTCTGCTGTGGCGACCCCTGATTAATAAAGGGACTAAGTCGACAAGAAAATGAATGAATAAAAGTCTACAGCAACTGTTTGATTATTCAAAATATCTTGCGGGTTTGGAACAGCTTGAGGGTGAGGAGATTTTCAGTTTTGGGTGAACTATCCCTTTAAATCATTTTTTCAAAGTCCTCTTGAGTTTGCAGAGGCTCCTTGGTTGAGAATCTCTGATGTACACACATTTAGGCCATCGCACCAAGTAAACAGAATTTTGCTAGATTGAATAGTAAAGCAACTACAGAAAGCCACATTTGTGACCATGGAGCACAAAAATAATCAAAAAACATTTGTCATTGAGATTTAGGCATTATTTCAATTTTAATAATAATAAAGAATAAGTTAAACTTTTCATTGATGTATAGTATACTTCCTTATAAGATAATGTTTTACCGTGATATGGCTATTCAAACATCTGGATTCAGAGAATTAAAAAAAAAAAAAAACGCAAATATTGTGAAAAATCACTTTTAAAGAGGTTTAGATTTGGCTATTTGCAATTGCAAATTTGCAAATCAATAAAATTGACTTTTATTCTATTTACAGTAGGACATTAACAATATATTATGAAATATGATCTTTACTTAATTTTAACCTATACAATGTATTTCTGGCTAATGCCAAAAATATACCCCTGCAACATAATGCAAGACTGGTTTTGTGCTCGGGGGTCACTCATCTGAATGAGATAAAAAGAGAAGCAGAGGGTTGGGACAGAATTATAAATATCCTGAACACTGATTTGCACAGTTTTAGCAAAGTCTCCCATGGAGAAAGACAGTCTGCCAGTCACTGACTGTGTCTAATTCTGGCTCTGTAAAACACTTGTCGTCAGCGGCAGTGGCAATGAGCTGATGTGAGAACAGTGCGGCTCGACTCACTCCGCACCCGCGTCTGTTCAATTCCCTGTCACTCCAGCTATTGTCTCCCACAGCAACAGCACTCTACACTCATCCAGAGCGCTTTCACCTTCGCCACACTACTGTTGTTATTGTTGTTTTTTTCTACTTCTTTCTCTTTGATTCTTTTATTAGCTTGTGAGGTGATTTTCTGCATCAGCACAGGGCTGATTGTTTCTGTAGAAAACACTATCATCATTTTGTCCACCTTCTGTCATGGATTTTAAAAGCAAGCGTGACCTTAAACTCAAGTCATCACGCCTCTTTTTCCCTTTACCACAATGACAGGATGAAGAGTTTGCTAATGAGAAGCACTCGCCGCCCTTACGGCATCTCTCTGATAATGACAGACTAACTCTCGGTCACACTTTTGCATCTCTGGAAGACATTTACCATGCCAACTTACAGTTGGAGCAACATTTGTTTGTGTTCTCCAACACTTTAAACATCATGTGAAATCACATGCTCACACTCAGGAAATGCTTTACTTAACTTGAAGAGACAGTTTAAAGGTTTTGAGAAAATTACAATTTAGTCATTTCGATAAAATTTCAGCTTGATATAAAGGATACAGTGTAACTACTTAAAGTTTTGTCAGTTTAATGGCTAATTTGTACAAATTCATGTAAGATTAGTTGCACTAAACTGTATGATTTGTAAAAGGAGGCTTGGCAACAAACCCAACCTCTAAACCCAACTGTCAGTGGGAGATGAGCATATCATACTAAAATGTACAATGGAGATTGTTCAAATTCCTGGGGCTGGGCGATATCGCAGAAAAAAATATCATGATATCATGTTTCATGTCATTCGATATTGGATATTCGTTATTTACTTTTTAAAAATATTATAATATTAATTTATTTTAATAGTCAAAAATAAAAATGTATCATCTCTTTTTAAAAATACAGTATAGACATAAGTGTTAAAGAGACTTTTAAACTTGATAAATAAATTGTTAAAAGTGTGTACAATGGTAAAGGTAGTTCAACATCTGTAAAGTGTCAATAATAATGATACAGTAAACCTCAAACTCTGTAAACAAAACAAACTATGATAATTACACCTGAGCTTTCAAGTAAAGGAACCAACCATCATTATTCAAATACATATTGCAACATTGCAAATTGTGAAGTTGGATGACTACATTACCCCTATGCTAAAAAAAATCTTTCAGATGGGGAGCTAGTGGCTGGAATGCACAACAAAAGAAACCCAAAAGCCACTCTGGCAACACCCTTACATCCTTTTTTATATACAATCTCCTCACTGCTGCTATACAGCACTCATTTTTGCGTGTGTTGTTATTCTGGCCACGTACAGTATTAAAGAACCTATTCACCTTATTTTCAGCTGTCGAGTGGGCGCTGCCATTTGAATCTTTTTGTCTCGCGACTTCCGGTCACATTCACTTCCATTCATTTTTTGACGTTAACAACTGCTCGTTACGCTGCTTGATGTTGCAATTTAATATTTTCTTATTATATTATGCTACTTGGTCTGTGTAGTCATGCAAACATTTGTTTGTTGAGCAAGTAGTTTGACCATTTTCTGCCGTTTATTATTCCTAGTCATTTCTCCCATAGGCGACTGAATCGGAAGTTCTAAGACAATCGCGAAAACAGGCGCACTTCCGCATTTTAGAATAAGGTCAATAGCCTTCATACCGAAACTTCACACCAAACTTTTTTTATCATCATTAATAATGGTGTTCGGTCAATAAATATTGATACTGATTTTATCGCCCAGCCCTAACAAATTCATACGAATTACACTAGAACAAAAAGTTACAAATTAGTGCGAGATAGCATTGGAAATTAAGTTTAAAAGTGCCCTATAATGAAAACCTGGGTATACCAAATGGGCATACTGTGAGCCTCATACACCACTGTTCCCTCAGTTTCATGTAAATTCCACGAGTGGTGAACAATGGACCAATCAAAAGACAAAACAAACTGTGAATAGACTCAAGGGCCATGCCCTCTTCATTTGC